TGGCTCCAACTTGGAGGATGACATCCAGCAGTAGTCTCACCGATCTGCGCATGGCCAACGTGAGACGGGATGGGTCTGGGAGGAGCTGTATCCGTTTTCCACGCGGATTGGAAGATTTCCTCTTTAATGGCAAAAAAGTGGACCCGGCATAGGACATCTCTGGATCGGTTAGTGTCAAAAGGTTAACGCCAGCGACACGGTGTACTCAGTCTAATTCAATGGCATTCGTAGGGGGTTTTCCCAGCGCCAGGTTGAGGATAGCTGTAACTGTAGCATGTAGGTCAGGGCCCTGGGTAGCCTCAGGAATCCCTCTCAGGCGTACGTTATTTTTTCTCCATCTTCTATCCGCAGGTGTAATTGCTGGAGGTGGGAGTGGTGAGAAGCCTTGGCCGACTCTAATGCCTCCAGTTGAGTCTCTTGATGTGTGACAGAGACCGACAGGGCCACTAAGGAGGAGTCGGTGGCAGTGACCCGCTGGCTCAGCTCCGTCACCTCACCCCTTAAGGCACCCTCCTGAGAACACTGCCAGTAACAGCGGATCCAGGGAGATCGAAGTCCGGAGACTCTGGGTCAGCATCTGTGGGGGGGGTTCTGTCGCGGCCTTCTTCGGCTGCGCGGTCTTCATCGCCATATTGCGGCCTACAGGAGCGTTGTCGTCGTGTGGACGCCGGGTGAAATAGGAGGTAATGTCCCTGATGGAGGAGGCTGCAAAGGCTGCGGGTGAGTCCCGATCGGTGAGCATAGGGGAGGAGAAGCTGTTAAAAGCATGAAAAGTTAGCTGTAGAAGGCCTCGGTGCAGCCGAGCTCACTCCTCCATGTCCCGCCACGCCCCCCCAGTCATATTTGAAAGCCACTGCCTCTCCTCTGTGAAGTTTAACATACCCCCCTAAGTCTCCACGCCCCCACTGTGGGCCACGCACCTAGGGTGCAATAGTTTCTATTTTTTGTGCCCCCTTTCTTGAACGTATGAGTTCTGAGTGGTCTACAACCTCAATTCTAAAAAAGTTGGGATGATTTTTAAAATCTACATAACCTAATTCAATGATTTGCAAATCTTATAAATCCATATTTTATTCACAATAGAAAATATATTTAAAACATGTTTAAACTGACAAAATGCACTATTTAAAAAGAAATAAGGTAATTTTGAGATTGATGGCAGCAACACTTCTTAAAAAAGTTGGGACAGGGCAACAAAAACCTGGCAAAGTAAGTGGTACTAACAAGGAAGAGCTGGAAGAACTAATTAAGTTAATTGGCAACCGGTCAGTAACATGATTGGGTATATAAAAAGAGCATCTTAGAGAGTCAGAGTGTCTCGGAAGTAAAGATGGGCAGAGGTTCACCAATCTATGAAAAGCTGCATCTAAAAATTGTTGAACAATTTCAGAATAATGTTCCTCAACGTAAAAGACTTTAAATTAGGGATGTCCCGATACCAGGCATTTTCAGGAGTACTTGTACTTCTGAAAATGCCCTGATTCTTAAGGCCGATACCGGCCCTTTAAAATTTCGTCCGGTCCTCGGCAGCCTGCTGGGGTCCTGACAGTAGCTGTCCATGGCAGTGCCTGTCTGTTTCCATACCTCTGCTCCTTCTTCCTGGCACAGGCACAGCCATGGATAGCCCCTCGCACAGTACAGCCCAGAACACGGGCACCCGTCCGATCAACTGAGAGCCCTGCAGAGGTCCACATGCCGCCCAGCTGAGACTGCAGCCTTCTGCTCTAGTGGTATGTATTGTGCAGATGCTGTGGGATCTATTGTGCTCTGCTGGGATCTATTGTGTTCAGCTGACATCTGTATTTAGCCCGGGTGAGAAACTGCCCTAAATCATTTGTTGTTTTAGAAAAAGTGTCACATGTCCCTTTAGGAAAAATGTTCGGTAATTGGTATCGGCAAGTACCTGAGGGCAAGTACTTGTACTTGGTCTTAAAAAAGTGGTATCGGGACATCCCTACTTTAAATATATTACTATCCACAGTGCATAATATTATCAAAAGATTCAGAGAATCTGGAGAAATCTCTGTGCGCAAGGGACAAGGCTAAAATGCAATATTGGATGTTTGTGATCTTCGGGGTCCTCAGACGGCACTGCATTAAAAACAGTGATGAACATCACTGCTTGAGCTTAGGAATACTTTGAAAAATCACTGTCTGTGGACACCGCTAGCTGTGCCATTCTCAAATGCAGGTTAAAGCTCTAACATGCAAAGAAGAAGCCATATCTGAACATGGTCCAGAAACGCCACCGTCTTCCCTGGGCCAAAGCTCATTTAAAATGTCTGTTGCGAAGTGGAAAACTGTTCTTTGGTCAGGCAAATCGAAATTTGACATTCTTTTTGGCAACCATGGGCTTATCATTCTCTGAACTAAAGAGGAAAGGGACCTTCTGAATTGTTATCAGCGCTCCCTTCAAAAGCCTGTATGTTTGATGGTATGGAGGTGCAGTAGTGTGTGTGGAATGGGCAGATTGCACATCTGGAAAGGCACCATCAATGCTGAAAGATACACTGAGTGGCCAGATTATTATGACCACCCCATCAGTACTTCGTTGGGCCACTTTTTGCCTTCAATACTGCGGCGATTCTTCTTGGCATTGACTCCACGAGATGTTGAAAGGTGATGCGAGGAATCTGACACCATGCCTGATGAATAGCACTGTCCAGTTCTGTGAGATTTGATAGTTGTGGAACCAGCTGCCTGATGGATCTTTCAACTTCATACGTCAGGTGGTCATAATAATCTGGCCACTCAGTGTATATCCAGGTTTTAGAGCAGCATATGCTCCCATCCAGATGTCTTTTTTGGGGGGAAGGCCTTTTATATTTCAGCAGGACAATGCTAAACCGCATACTGCATCTTTGACAACAGCATGGCTTCATAGTAGAAGAGTCCGGGTGCTTAACAAGCCTGCCTGCCTGCCTGCAGTTCATACCTTTCACTAATTGAAAATTTTTGGCACATCTTGAAACTAAAAATACGACAAAAGACCCAGGACTGTTGAGCAGTTAGAATCCTATATCAGGCTCCTTTGTTCCCAGACATTTACAGAGTGTTGTTAAATGAAGAGGGGATGCTACACCGTGGTAAACATGGCCCTGTCCCGGCTTTTTTGAGTGTTGTTGCCATTAATTTCAAAATTACCTTATTTTTTTTCTTAAAATGGTAAATTTTCTCAGTTTAAACATTTGTTATGTTTGTGAATATAATATGGGTTTATGAGATTTGCAAATCATTGCATTCTGTTTTTATGTAGATTTTACAAAGCATCCCAACTTTTTTGGAATTGGGGTTGTAATAAGTTCACAAAGTTTACAAATCAAAACTTGGTAATTCAGAAGGAACCAAATATTGCTTGCATGCAGTTTGTCACCGACTACTATTGCACCTGCATTGACTTTACCTGAAACTTCCCGTGGCCCCCTAAAGCACTTTGCCACCAATGGCTACTACGCACTGGCTCACTATGTCAGCGATTGCCACCCATACACTTCAACACTCCACTTTGCCACCAACTGCTACTGCACCATATAGTGGTCCATATAGTGAGCTTGGTTCCAAATTATTCACTTTAAGGTTACTGCAAAGACAAGGGGGCATTCTTTGCGTCTGGAGGAAAAGAGGTTTAACCTTTTGCATACGGAAAGGATTCTTCACAGTTAGAGCTGTGAAAATGTGGAATAGACTTCACCAGGAGCTAGTTCTAGGTAGCTAGGTTAACTGTTTAAAAAAAATCTGGATGTATTCTTAAATGCACAGAATATTATTGGATATTGAGTTCTTATAGGTATATAAAGCACCAAAGATGGCTGATCCAGGGAATATCCGATTTCCTTCAGGGAATTTTTCCCCCTGTGGGAGCAAATTAAACCATGCTTTATAGGGTGTGTTTTTTTGTTTTTTTTTTGCCATCCTCTGGATCAGCAATGGGTAACTGTGGGCATGGTGTCCTGTTTTAGACTTTTTTATTTTTTTCTCCTCTCATCTCTATAGGTTGAACTCGATGGACTTGTGTCTTTTTTCAATCTGACTAACTATGTAACCTGAATTCACTTTGCGTGCAACTGTTACTGAGCCTATGTGCACTTTGCCACCAGCCACCACTGCAAAAATCCACTTCGCCACTTACCACCACTGCACCCATTGCACTTTGCCACTGACTTTTTATCCCACTGCCACGGTGCTGATAGCAGGGGTGTGGTGAAGGTCTCACTTCCTGTGTTCTTTGAGGACCCCTTCACACATGTTCCCTGAAGTATCACACACTTCACTGCAGTGCACTGTAACGTGTATGGGGGGATTTATCAAAACTGGAGCAGACTAAATCTGTAGCAGTTGCCTATGGCATCCAATCAGCTTCTTTCTTCAGTTTGTTCAGTTAAGCTTTGAAAATGAAATGTGGATGCTGATTGGTTACTATGCACATCTGCTCCAGATTTTGTCTGCTCCAGTTTTGATAAATTCCCCTCTGTGTGCCTTGCAATTCATTTGGAATGACCCAGCATGTATACACAATGCATTTGTAATGTGGTGAAGAAAGAAAATCACAAGTCATTTCACCTGCATTTGGGCTCATTCAAAATGAGTCAAAGCACAAAAAAAAATGTTGTGGTGCATGCATAACTGCAGTACAATAGGCAGTGAATAGGCCCTTAATTAATCTGCTGAATTGTACTAGTACTGCACATTTCCCAATGGATCATGGGCAGGCCATCCTACTAACTCTTTCCCTACCCCCTTCACCATCCCTCCAAGTAACATTGTTGCTTTTCTAAAATTATTTGCTGTAATTTAGTAACCAATAAGAACTGTGTGTACTTCAATAAGGAACTTTTTCAACAAGCATTGATTGCATTTTTTTCTTTGTCAGCGCTATTTTTATTGTTGATGTACTTTACAGAATAGTTTATTATTGTTGGAAGTATGGTGTTTATGGGTTACACTCTATCTATTTTAGGGATGCGCCAAACATTTTGGCCAAAAATGGCACTTTTGGCAAAATGCCGTAAGTGCTAGATTTCCCTAGAGCCCTCAACGGTAAAATAAAATAATTGAAAAAATAATTTAAAAAAATGTTAAAACGGTTGGGGAAAAAAAAGTAATTTTCGGTTTCAGCCTGACAAATTTTTTATTTTCAGTTTCGGTCTCAAAATTCAATTTCGGGGCATCCTTAGTTTATATGATACTGTAAACTCCCCGTTATCCGGCATCCACAGGGATCGGTGTATTCCGGATAAATGTAGTTTCTGGTTGTTTGAGAGTTACTATTAAAAATAGGTCTAACTAATGCCATACCCCATGCTATACCATACCATAACATAAACTCTGTATTGACTTCATATTAATATTGAAATGCAGTAATCAAAAGCAAATTAAGACAAATAATCACACAATTGTTTCCAGGATATTGCATGCCGCAGATCAGCAGAACAGTAAGTACACATTATTTGTTTTTCTGGTTAGTTGAATACCAGATAACAGAGTTTATTGTGCATTCCTATTTGTTTCTTTGAGAGCTGTAAATATGGGATATAAAAATATATTTAAAATTATATAAAGTTTATTATACTGGGTTGGCACCAGATTTATTGTAAACATTACTTGATTGATCAAAATTAACCTAATTAGCATAATGTGTCATACATTTTTCAGCTGTTAAATAAAGAGGATATATTGAGTCAAGTAGAACAAGAGTTGGAATTGCTACGGACAGAGGTGGTGGCATCGCGAGCTGAATGTCAAAATGGCCAAGAATTGTCAACCAGGCTAAAGGAGGATTTACAAAAAGTGCAGAAGGAAAATGATATGCTGTCTCAGCGGAGGTGGGTAACCTAAGGATTAGTCTCTTGTCCTGGGCCCATGTGTTATAGAGGCACTGATGAGGTGGCTTCAAATGAACAGTTGGGGTAAGTACTGAAAAACTGGTCCATACATGAAGCTGTTGCCCATAGCAACCATTAGACAGATACAACTTGATTGGCTGCTATGGGCAGCCTCTCCATCACCCCAAACCTCTTTGCTCCTGTGCATATACATCAACTATTGAAGTTTGCTGAAGAACGAACAGACAGGAGACACAAATATATGACAATTGTCCGAGGGAAGCGCTGAAAAGTATGTTCAGCTGGGACATCACTGTTGTCTAAACACTTGGCAGCATCTCTGGCAATGCTACCCATCATAGCCTGAGCACACACATATGATCCCAGCAGAGACTGATGCGGTTGGTAAGTCCCAGATACCGATCTAGCTTTTATACACAGGTACAGAAATCACATCCATAAATAAACCAATATAAACCTTACTGAAATACTTGTTTAATCTATTTACAAGTAACAAGAATAGCCCTTTTGTATGAGGTGGGTAGTAGCCAGTAGGGATGCACCAATACCATTTTTTTCAGAACAAGTACCAATACTTTTCCTCAAGTACTTGTCGACACCAATTACTGATACTTTTTTTTTAGTGTTGTGACAGTGGTGAAGTGCCAGGGCCCATTCACAGCTGTAAATGCTACACCCCGGTAGTTCTGCCACTCCAAGCTGTAGAGGTACCGTATTTTTCCGTGTATAAGACGCTACTTTTTCATAAGAATCTTGAGCTAAAAATAGAGGTGCGTCTTATACACCGGGGCCGCGGTTTTGAAAGTGCTGATACCACTGCAAACTAGCCTCATGGATTGCAGAGACAAGATAACAGTTCTCCTCCAATCATAAATCTTTTGAACCTGAGGTAAGTTGTTGCTGGGGAGATCGTGTAGGCAGTGCCCAGAGCGATAATGTCGGAGCATTCTGTGACCATAAAAATGTCAGAAAGTGAAAAACAACCTGTAAAGCGGCTGGCTTACTCTGCAAAATTTAAACTGGATGTTATCACTTATGCAAAAGAGCATGGAAATAGAGCTGCAGAGAGACAATTTGGACCTCCTCCCACTGAGTGTATGATCAGACAGTGGAGAAAACAGGAAGAGCAACTCCTTAAGATGCCCAAAAAGAAGAAGGCCTTGAGAGGAAAACCAGCAAAATGGCCAAACTTGGAGCAGAGGCTTAAGACTTGGATTTTGGAGCAGCGCCAGAGTGGCTTATGTGTGTCAACCAAGCTTATTCAATGTCAGGCAAGAATGTTTGCAAGCGAAATGAAGATTGTTGATTTTACAGGAAAGGCAAAATGGTGCTTCAATTTCATGAGGAGAGAAGGGTTGGCTATGAGAACACGCACAAAGTTAGCACAGAAAATGCCACCAGCTTATGAGGAGAAAATCCAACAGTTTCACTCCTATGTCATACAACTTCGTAAAAAATATGATTTTCAACCAAGTCAGATTGCAAACATGGATGAGGTGCCTCTCAATTTTGATGTGCCTTCCAACAGAACTGTTGATGTGAGAGGAATCAAAACAGTGGCAATCAAAACAAGTGGCCATGAAAAGACACACTACACTGCTGTGCTTTCATGCTGTGCAGATGGCACTAAACTGCCTCCTATGCTTATTTTTAAGAGGAAAACATATCCTAAAGAAACCATACCCCCTGGCATTATTGTTCAAGTGCAGGAGAAGGGATGGATGAATGAAGACCTTATAGCCGTTTGGTTTGCAAAGGTTTGGTCCAGAAGACCTTGAGGGCTCTTAAAGAAGCCAGCTCTACTTGTCTATGATTAGTTCCGAGCACATTTAACGGAAAAGACAAAAAGGAGTGCATTAGATTTGCGAACACATCTAGCAGTTATTCCTGGTGGACTTACAGGTCAGCTACAGCCACTAGATGTTTCAATCAACAAGCCATTTAAAGTCCTAATGAGAGAAGAATGGAATAGATGGATGCAAAAAGCAGGGGGTAACTTGACACCGACAGGAAGAGTAAAAAAAACAACCATTACTGAGGTTAGCAATTGGGTTCTAAACTCATGGTATGGTGTCAAACAAGAGGTGATTGTGAAGTCCTTCAAGAAATGTGGAATCAGCAATGCCATGGACGGAACTGAGGATGATCTTGTATATATAGACAGTGACTCAGCAGACAGCAGTGATGCAGCAGAAGTTGAAGAAACTGATATGTTTGAAGCCCAGTGATGAACCAGTGATGCAACAGAGGCTGAATAAAGTGATTGGCTCAGAGGTAAGTGTGATTCATAATATCATTTAAAATATTGATTTCTGAATTTTGGGTAAGAAAAGTTGGGGGCGTCTTATACATGGGGGCATCTTATAGACGGAAAAATACGGTACTTCATATCCCAGCAACACATTATACAACAATGCAGAATACCACCAGCTATAGGGGACTACAAATCCCAGCGATACATTATACAGCAATGCAGAAGACCACCATCTACACTGAGTGGCCAGATTATTATGACCACCTGACGCTTGTAGGCAAATTAGCTATAATTTTGCGCTGAAGTTGCTAGAGGGCGAGCCCATTATAAATAGGGAAGCAGGTTGTTTACACCGACAGTAGAAGTGATTTTTTTCTGAAGATATGGGTAAACAACGCGATTTAACAGCCTTTGAATGTGGGATGATTGTTGTCGTTTGGAGCCATGGAGCGAGTATCAGCAAAACAGCAGAATTCGTTAAATGTTCAATAGCACCTGTTGAAGTGTTTAAAGACTGGTCTGTCAGCCGAAAATCTGGGTCTGAACGTGCAAATTGTGGCCGCCAATGTTAGGGCAGAACGGAGAGTGGCAAGACTATCATATTGATGGCGTATCCCAATGGAGATGGCTTCTTCCAACAAGACAATGCGCCCTGCCACGGTGCTCATATTGTGCAGGAGTGGTTTCAAGAACATGAGGGAGAATTTACCTTGCTTAGGTGGCCGCCACAATCACCAGATCTCAATCCTATTGAGCATTTGTGGGACGAAGTTGAAAGAGCCATCAGGCAGCTGGTTCCACAACCATCAACTCTTGGGTGGCCGTGCAGGTTCTATGGTGGGCTGTGCATACTCTTAGGTGGGCTATGCAGAGTCTATAGTGGGCTGTGCAGACTCTGAGGTGGCTATGCAAAGTCTATAGTAAGCTGTGCAGGCTCTCAGGTGGCTATGTGGGGTCTATGATGGGCTGTGCGTGCTCTCAGATGGCTATGCAGGGTCTATGGTGGGCTGTGCAGACTCTCAGGTGGGTTATGTGCAAACTCTTAGGTGGGCTTAGCAGGGTTAATGTTGGACAGTGTTGACTCTCAGGTGGCTATGCGCGGTCTATGGTGGGCTGTATGGTCCCCCTTAGGTGGTCTGTGTGGGCTCTCAGGTGGCTATGCGAGGTCTATGGTGTGCTGTGTGGGCTCTCAGGTGGCTATGCGAGGTCTATGGTTTGCTGTGTGGGGTCTCAGGTGGCTATGCGTGGTTAATGGTGGGCTGTGCCGAGAGCTGTGATCTCTGATCGACACATGTCACACAACACACTGCTGTGTGGGGTCTCAGGTGGCTATGCGTGGTTAATGGTGGGCTGTGCCGAGAGCTGTGATCTCTGATCGACACATGTCACACAACACACAGACAGAGGCAGTACCTTCCTCCCCTGACTTCATGATAAACTGGAAGACGGGCTGGAACTCCACCATGTCTCTGACGCAAGTGTACAGCAGCAGACTGAGGGGAAGAGTGGAAGGAGCGGCAGGTGCAAGGCCAGAGCCAGGAGCCTCCCCCCACACCCGGGGGTCCTTAGGTGGCTGCCAATGCAGCCTTAGCTAGGGCCAGTCCTGCAGGACACAGAGATGTTTGATCTCTCCAGGTGTGTTCTGGCTTAGTGACGGTGTCCACTCCTATAGTTTCGGTGTTGTGCTTAGGGCGATTAGGGTGTTCCCAGGCACATCCCGTGCACATGCCTATGGTAGTGGTAACATAATAACTGTGCTGCACACAGCCTGAGTAGAGCTTTGGGAAGGACCCAGTCGATCTGCCACTACAGACTGCCTGCAAAAACTACAGTAGGGGGCATATACAAGACCAGTCACCATGCGCGAGGAGAGAGGGAGAGAGAAGCGATGACTGGTCTTTATTGCAGAAAGTTTTTGCACAAAGGCAAAGTTTCACTACATAGATCTGGAAAAAATACACAAAGGGCACCTTGTAATTACATGTCTCTTGTATTTAGACAATATTTGCTCTTCCCAAAGTTCAGCTTCAAATAGGTTACCTATTTATAGCCTAAGGCCTCGTTCACATGACAAATGAAATTAGTGGGACTGCGCCACACCGCATGGGTACTCCGTTTCGGCAGGGTGCTTCAATAGAAAATCCTATTGGGATTTTTTTTAAAAACCCTAAGGCAGCAGGATCTCCTCTTGAATGCAGGCAGCCGCTGCTCCACAGCCTTCTGAAAAGGGATCCACTGCAGATCGCTTTTCAGAGGGTGACGGAGACTGCAGCCCAAGTGAACAGGGCCTAGGGTAGACACGAGAATGCCTTCTACAACAAAGAAAACAAATTCCATTTGGACAGCTGCAATCCACCTAAGTCAAGAGATTTTGTTCTCCTTCCTTGTATTTATTAGGTCACGCAGATGTATAAATAACTTTGGAGAGTTAGTCGATTAAGAGATATTACCGAGTATGGTAAACTTAAATGTAATCTGAATTTCTTACTTGTCCATTGAGGAATGCAGGTTATACTGCCACCTACAGGAGGATTGGACACTGACAAACAAGAAACTGTAGGCCTCCTCTGAGTTTAACCCCGCTCTATTACCAGCATGCCTCAGTTTCTTGCTAGCGTCCTTGGAAGATGCAAAAATATAGTGTAGCACTTTTTAAAAACTCATATCAATATTTACAAAATAAAGTGCAAGTTTACCAGTATAATAATCTCCTACATAATTCTCC